AAACCAAGCAAGCATGTAAATCTTGTCTTACCTTTGCCGTTTTTTCAACAAAAAGTTATTTCCATAGCGATAAAAGTCCGTTTGTTGTTATGTCCGGTCAATAGCTTCGTGCAAACGCCATTTTTGATTGTTTCTTTAGCTTTGTGGCGTCATTACGTCACCAAATATGGAATGACTCCCCGTGCGTAAGAGCACGTCTCTCCACGCTGCGCGTCGTGTGATTCGTCGGCGATCCCGTCAGTCTCAAAATGGTTGAGCTGATTGGTTTCCATAGAATCAGAGCTTTCCGCGATATATAGATCTCCTGGATTGGACAGATGGTCGGGGGGGTAGGGACACGCAGAAGCTCGACGTCAAAGCGTTTGTGAGTGAAACGTTCCCAAAAGCGCAGCAAGATGGCGTAAATGAGCTTCTACCCCCCTTTTACAGCGTTTCTTTAGGAGTTTTTTTTGCTGAAATCATGTCCCATAAGCAAGAAAAGAAGACTATGAACGTAGCTGAAGCTTTGGACAAGATTTTTTCCATATTTCAATTATTGTGCCAAATTGTGCCAAACTGTGCCAACATGGATTACGCCTGAACTTTGTTCAATCAAAACCTTTACAGAATATTAGTTTCTTGTAGTATGAACACCAAACTTGCTACAGATGTTCTTGACATGTAGTGGTTACAATTGATTGTGTTTATTTGCTTCGTTATAAGTAAAATAAGGAGATATTGGAGGAAACATGTGTTTTTTTTTTAGGCGGAGTTCATTTTTTGGCCATTCCAACATCAATTACTCTTACCCTGTGTTCTTGACTGTCAAATTAACTCATCCACACCACTCCCCAAGAACCTATCTTCATTTTGATACCAAGATTTGCAGTTTAGGCCTTGTAAAAGCTGAGAAATGCCTTAAAAAGTAAAAGTATAGGATTTTCGGAAAATAGGCCTCAGGGCTTAAGAGGTTAAGTGACCCTGCCCTTATTTACATGCATGTCTTTAATGTTTTAAGCAAAATTAATTTTTATCTTGCGGAGCCTCCCTAAAGTTAAGAAATTTCTGTTATTGTATTAAATTATGATATTTTTCGACAACCGTCACAGAAACTGTATCTCATTAATAGGTGGTTGAAGGCAAACTTCTCTAAGCAAACATTATTAAGTGAATTCTGGATAGTTCCTACATTTTGATGTCTTAGAGGGCTTAAAGGATTTTTAATCAAAGCCACAGAACTTTGGACCTGTTCAAGGTAATACTTTGCGCTATAAGGGTAAAAAAATCAATCAAATCTTTCCACTTATTGAGTAACGATGTGCTATTACTTTTAGGACAGCTGCAATTTCTAAGTTTCTCATTGAAATCAATATGAGAAATAGGCTGAATCCAAACAAGACAAACTGTTTATGAGCTGCACAAAAGTCAATCTTCTGCAGAGGCGCTGCAACCTTGGGGGATGTGGGTGATTTAATAAGCAAACATTTTTCTTAGTTTGAGAGCTCAACACCTGCATCTTTTCCATTAGTTTTCACTGCACTAAAGAGCATGCATGTTTCGAGACCACCGAGTCCATAACAAAGCATTACAGAGCTGACTTAAAAAATGGTCTTTGATATTTTAACACCTAGTGATAAAAATAACCCATGAAATGTAGATTTTTCAAGGTAAAGCAAAGTCATGAAGACTTGCTTCCCTGCTCCCAACAGCGCCACTTTTATTTTAGCGGTAGACCTAAATAAACAGGTGTTGATTGGCAAAGAGTCTGGAGAAGTCATCACTGCACCTACAGATACTTATATAGTTTTTTATTGGACAAAATGGAACAAAAAGTGCGTGGAACAGTCTGTCGGATTTTTTTTTTTTTTTAAATCCAATTTTCATACAATTATTATTTTTTTATTTTTTATTTTTTTCCTCTCTTCTTTTCCTCTTCCTTTCTTTCATTTTCACTCGTGTACCTTCACCCTTTCCCAATCCTTTATCCACTCCCCCTTTCAGTTCAACACCATCTTGTCCTGACACAACTATTATAAACTGACTCGTGGGAACCACAACTAATAAATATTTAATAAATACATTCAATTTTCCAATCCAGAGGAGAAAACACCACACCAGGTGTTTTACTCCCCTGGAGAAAGCAAAACTGTCCAACTCAGCAAGGCATGTACTATCCCATGTGATGGCTTTTGAGCAGGACAGGACAAGGTAGAAAAAAAAATACAATTTTCACATTGTTTTACTTTTTGGGGGGATTTATGAACTTTTGTTATGTCTGAACGCTTTTGATTATTGTTATAAAAATATTGTTGATTCTTGTAGTAAAAAAAGGCAACATTTACTACTCGGAATAATACTTTGTGGTATTTTTTTCTGTGTATTTCAATGAAAAAATATATATTAAAAAGAAGCTGGGGTTGTTCTAAAAATGATGTTAAGCAACAAACCAGTTTTAAAAATAATTTATTAGCGCAAATAGCAAAGTAGTAAAACATGCTCAAAAGGCTGGGCATTGGTTTTTAACATGAATGGGGCTTGGGTCAGTCATGCCCACTGTGTGGCTCTCATTTGGAATCTGTTGTAGAACGTGATACATATAAAAGTTTGCAAATCAGATTCACTTTCACCCTGAAATGTCCATAAAAGAGTCACGATGGGGAATTTTTAAAGAGGTGCATGGGGAGCAGGCTTAAGTAAGCATGGAAGAAGGCTTGAGCCTGTGAGCTTTCTAGGGGTTCCCAGCTCTGGTCAGGAAAAGCACTGAGAGCTGGAACCTGGAGATCCTTAGCAGATCCTGGAATACAACTTCAAGGAGGATGAGCAGAAGAGCCAAGCTTGAAATACCAGCAATGGAACCCAAGGGACTTGTCACATCTCAGCGTGAGAGCTTATCTCAAAAGCAGCAGCCTAGGCACTAGCATATGAGAGGATCTCACAGAGGAACAGAGTATCTGCTCTGCACCTTGTCCTAGGAGCCACTTAGAATACTCGACAGGAAGAAGGTGCTAAAGGGTGACAGATAAAGGGCTCTTGAGAGGTTTGAGGACAGGTGCAATTCACGATGAGCAAGCAAGGTGGGGATGTGGGGAAAATAGATTAGGTGAAAGAGACTTGACAAAATGATAATAAACACAGTAAAACTTTAAGAGTTATTTGGTCCCATCCTATATAGCCAACTCTAAAGAAGAGTTATTTCCATCTTTTAGAAGAGTTCCTTTTTGTTTGTGTTTTATGTTTCTACAGCCATGCTAACCCTAAATGCTCATACTCACTAATGATCAAAAATATCTAAACAGTCTCATTTTAACTGTTTCGAGTGCATTTGGTCCCATGTGCAAATTGTGAAAAAACTTTTTCCCAGAGTCTGTTAAACTCTAAATAGTGTACTCTCCGATTAGTGTTAATTTAACTCTTGGAATTTTACTGTGTAGTTTGTTTGTATACATTGATATAACTGTTTTGCAATTATTTATACAGTACAATATATAAAAACTAAGGTAAATTACAAGGAAGTCTGCCATATTACCTGGGGCAAGACTTTGCCAGCGTGCAACTGAATTGCAGAACAGCTGTCTTTCAGATAAATTTGTATATTGTCTGACTTTTAAAGGCTTTATGAAGTTCCTCTCTGTAGTAGCGCAGTATGAGACTAGGAGTTTATTTTTTACGTGACTAATAAGTTCTCCTCTGAGGCTACTTCATGCTCACTCAAGATCTCTGCAAGCATCTCTGCTCTGCACAACTCTTACAATTAGTGACATGAGTCTGGCCAGTGTGGAATAAATCTTATTTTAATTATTTTCCTTTACTTAGTAACGAGTTACACCCAACACCCGACATGGCCACTCTTGAACCATTTTTTTTCCTTGTCCATTTTCTTGTCATAAGAAAGAACATTTCAACTGTTTTGTGTGTGCTTTTTTATGGCACATAATCTACATGTAATGTCCCGCATGAATTAAAACTGATTTTAAACGTTTTTTATGTAATAATAATCAAAGTTTCAGCGCCTTCTGCCACTATCATTCAATGGAAGATTGGAGAACCAACCAAGACTTGATTATAGCAATGCACTCCTCGTTGGGATCTCTAGCAGGACCCTGCAGAAGCTCCAGCACATCCACAACTGCGCTGCCCGGATCCTGACGAGGAGGTGTAAATATGATCACATCACCCCTGTTCTCTGCTCACTTCACTGGTTGCCCATTTAACATCTACTATCAGTGCAATTTCCCCGGGCTACCTCTCAGAGCTTCTCATACCATATACCACCTCATGCCTCCATCCACTGTATCCATCAGCCAAGGACCATACTCTTCACTGTGGGAGACAGATTTTCAGGCTGCACAGCCATGCCGCTGGAATACCCTCCCAGAATCCCCGAGAGCAACCTAGACTGAGGACGTCTTTAAGAAAGGGCTTACATTAGGATTGTGCCTTTTTACCTTGTTTACCTTGTGTAGTTTGGAAGTGATTTATCATCTTTTTATGCGCTCACTGTAGCACTTTGAGATTTCACTGAACTGTTAAATGCATTACAAATAAAACGTATTATTATTATAATTATTAAGGCCATGCCGTTGGACTAAACATTCTCATAACAAGAGTGGTTTTCACTGTTGAATTTAAATGAATTGAGCCTAATTAAATTAAATTTTTGTATATCGCACATGCGCAGCACAATTCAAAAAGGCCATAGTTATATATCAAAATAATGATCCTCTCCACTTTAGCTGAAACAGCAAGACATATGCCATATGATCTCGAGAAACATAATTCAGTATAAATCTATAAATAATTCAGTATAAATACCACAAAACAAAGTAACACATTTCAATAAATATTCAAAAAGTGGATTTTTTTTTTATTTAGAAATAAATTTGAATTAACGTAACCAAAAAATATTGGTTATTCATTGTCATTTTCCTGTACGCACGTTCTCCAGCTCCCATTGGGCGAGAGGCGGGGGTACACCCTGGACAGGTCGCCAGTCCTTCGCAGGGCAAGTGACGCATTTTCAATGTATTGCCTGGGAGTCAAACCCAGGTAAACTGCTTGGATGGCAGCTATGCTCACCACTATACCACCAAGACATCTCAAACTGTTAGTAAACTCAATTTATACATTGAATTATATGTTTTTCATTAGCATTTGATTCTTGTTTTCAGCTTAAAAATGTAAAAATAAATTGCACAAAAAATTGCAATTCCCTGTAAAAAAATTCCATCTGTTATCATGAGGAGTATCTGGGAGGTAAACATGAACAATTGCACGTGATTCATTAATTAAAGTATTTATCGTTGTTCAGTACTGGAACAACTGACTACCCCAAAATATGAACAAGCACAAGAAAAAACCCTGACTGGCAGATCCCATAACTGTTTTCAAATAAGGCTAAGTTTAGGTCTCACCTTTAGCACAACACTTTTCCATTTGAGAGATGGCTATGACATTTCTGCAGCTCTGCCAGAGCCCTTAAATGGAAACTTGCCAAGCATCCAAAGTGGTTTGCTTTCGTGCTCTTTTGGCACTCTGCGTGGAACATGATTACAATGCTGATGCAGCGGAGCTGTTTCCAGTGCTCTGTTTGTTATAAAATGCAGCTGATTTGCCGTCACATGATTCATTTGAGCCTTCCACTGGTCAACTGTGCTTGATGAGACCCGTGTCATTCAGCTCTGTGTGGACGCTAACTGTGTTCTGCATTTAGATTAGCTTGTTGGATCCTAGGCATCTGTGCTTTGCCAGATAAGAGGGATCCCTCAACACTATTGATCACTCTTTGTAACTCTCCTTACTCCTCCAGGCGGCTGATAAACATTAGTTCACAGTTGCCACGTGCCACAGGCTTGAAAACTTCATTATCTGCTAATTCGTAATCAGTCTGACCTCGGTTTCAAGGACCAGTCTTTGTAAATAGGCTCAGTTTACACATGCGTACTTTAAATATTGATTTTAACGATTTTCCTGCGTAAATGGTTCTGCTTTGTGTTTCATCCTCTTGGTTGTAAAATACACCATCATTGGTTGTATATCGTCTGAGATTCAGTAGGTGTGTGGCTCGTGATCATGTGATTTAAATGCCAGCGGACCATTAATGCCCCTCATAGTCATGTTTGGATTTCCCTCATTCATGTTCATGCTAGATTCGGTTTTCTCAATGCCCAGCCCTTTAACAAATCCAACATGACAAAAAATTCCATGAGGAAAAATCCAAGAGATGTTGTTTCCCTGACAGCAGACAGCAGGGGCATTATCTTATAATGATAATGAACAGCAAAAATCGAGGGTTTGGGCCCCCCAAAAAATCCTGGTTGCTATTCGGTTGGCTGTTTATTGGCATTTAATGAAAACAATTTATCTAAATCACCGCCCTGGAGGATTCGTGGTTAAAGCACGAGGAGAGAAGGCTGGGATTTGTGTCATTGACGAATGCACCACTATTTTTCCAATTCAAATCCAGTTGAGGGAAGAAAACAGGCGTTTACTTTAAAGCCATATAGACTGGAGAGAAAGAAGTGGGGAATTTTTGTCTGACAAATATCACCAAATCTAGATTTCTGCTGCAAGTGTTGTTAAAAATGTTTCTTCATTATCATTTTCAGATTTAAAAGCCACTGTGTCCCCATCATGATCATGTGTATATAGTGACTCCCCATACCAGTCACTTTTGGTTGAAACCTCCTTCCATTTCAATCAATTGTCTTGACTGGTTTTAAAATTGCGACCTCTAGTGGTTAGATTTTACATGGTGTATGCTTACATGTGAATTAGAGAGCCCTGCCACTCATTTTTGGCAAAGGTTGCATCCTACCAGCTGAGAAAGGAGGCACTGGTTGGTGTTTAATTTGATTATTTCTTTGTTTATATCTCTTGTTTTGTCTGATGTACTCTTCTTCTTGACTATTGAGTGGCCATTTGTTCATGCGCCTCCTTTTGTTGAGCTGAGGTCTGTTTCCATGTGTCTTAACCCCACCCTTCTCGTTACCTGGTGATGGTTAATTCACCCCACCTGCCCTTCATTGCTGTCTCCATGATTGTTTTCACTCTATATTCTCCATGTGATCACAACATTCCTCGACTTGTGCATCCATTGTGAGTATTCCCATCTTGTTCTTGGGCTCTGCCCTAAATTCTCAAACATTTGCACACTTTGGGGACGTTTGTGGAATAGCCAAATTGTTATCAAAGTTTTTTGGACTGAATTTTCCAGAGAAAATCACTCTTTTAGAAACAGCATACATATACTTCCACAGTATACTATGTTTTTCAAGTTGCAATGGAACTATGTTTTAGTGTTTTCACCACTAAACAAATCCTGGTGTAACCGTTGTACAGGTGTGAGTCTTCTTAATGGATGTGCAGATGTACTCTACATTAATTATCTCACAAATCTGATGCAGCCGCACAAGCTAACACTGACATAAAAGGAATCCATTTCCATAATGCAGCTTTCTGCATGTCACATGGTTTGCATGTTTGATTTTATTTCATGCTCTGGCTATCCACAGTAAGCAAAACTAACTAAACTGGAACCTGAAGCTAAGCCACGGGAGAAATAAAGTGGAACTGTAATATATATATATATATATATATATATATATATATATATATATATATATATAGTGGTTAACAAAATATAGCAAAATTTTGTTCTTCTGACAAGATTTAATAAAATGCTACTAAAGGTGCTCTTTAAGATTTCAACATGGATTTTTGATCCAAACTTAAAGTCCAAAAAAAGTCATATGGTGAGATGTTCACAAAAAAAACTGCTTTGTTATTGGTTATTCATAAGGTTTAAGAGAATTTTTTGAATATATTTTTATTAAGGAGAGCCATGCTTTCCTTTGAAATATGATTTCGAAAAATAAACCAAACCATCAAATGATCACACAGAAATGATTAAAATGTTAAAGGCACTCTATTTTCACTTTCACGTCACACCATATGGTAATTTAAGATATTGGTGACGCAACCTAACATCTAATAGAATCTTACATATAGTCAGAACTAAGCACCCATATATGTATTGTGTTTATTTTATTTAAAGATTCCCAATATACTCAGGGTTCAAACTAAAATATCATTATTTTCAGGATGTTTTTTGTTTTTTTTTGATGCACCCTGTGCTAGCAAGTTCAAAGTAATTGAAAAAACTATGTAAATAGGGAATATACAAAGTAATTATCTAGCCCTGGAAACAAAGAAAATGAAATGTAAAACTGTGTTCTCTATAGTTTTAATCAAGGGCCAATAGTTTAAGGTCAGGTCACATGATGTCATCAGAGTGGGTGTGGTTTAAATCAAAACCAGGAAGTACATCATCTTCCTTTAGGAAACAAACTTTAGCGGCACATAATTAGGGGTTCTAACCAATCACTCTCTTAATTTTATTGACTTTTTCGCAATTTGAAAATCTGTTTTTCTATTTTGTTTTAGATCATGGTACTGACTGACCCTGAATTCGAAAGCAGCATTCTCATCAGCTCGGACGAGGGTGCCAGCTACCAGAAGTATCGCTTGAACTTTTACGTCTTAAGTTTGCTTTTCCATCACACCCAGGAGGACTGGGCATTGGCCTACAGCCACGACCAGAAGGTAAGCTTTGGTGTAAAATGTTGTTTTCCTTCTTCATTCTCTGAACTATTCAGAGAATTTCGAAACAATATTTATCAGTTTGTGTTTTTCGGTCAGAACTCTGTTGCTCTCAATGCAAAGTAAAACTGATTTGGAGGATCGCGCTCTGGTCACTTTCACACCAGTCTTGTTTCGTTCAAGTGGTAAAAAAGTCGAGTAGAATGATGTTATCTCTATTCATTGGTCGATGCACCCGGAGACTGCCATTATTACTCGCTCAAAAGATTTCACAATAAAGAATCTCATTTTCTGAGCGAACAAGGCTTTTTGACACAATGTCCAGACTCATCACATCCAGAGCAGGACTGCAGATCGGGTCAAAAACCTCAAGGATTGTCTTATAGAAAGGTGTCAGGTCCGCGCCACTGCTTGATGATGCATTAAAGCAGAAAGAGATTAAAGCCCAGCTTTTTCTCTTTCCTCAGATGAACTCTAACTGAAACCTTTGGGAATCTGACAAAGAAATAGCTATTGATCCGGGGTCACCCCATTGGTCTGGTTAACTGAAGTTTCATTGAGCGCTTAAAGTCCACAAAGGTCATTAATTCAAGTCTTTAAATGCTACAAAACGTTGCCTCTAAATGGCTGTTCTATGCAAGAGTCAAGTGGAAATGAGGATGCAACCTCAGTTTACATCTTTAGATTTCTTGGCCATTTTTCTGATAACCGCTTTTTTTCTCCTCATACTTAGTGAAGCCATTTATTGTGTTTATTCTTTTTAAATGATAATGACAAGAAAATTTCCAAATTCTTTTGAACAAAAAGTTTTTTTTTTATCAATCTTATTTTCTGAAAATAGTCAAGGGTATGTAAACTTAAAAAAAAATCCCAGGGTATGAGCACAACTGTATTTCTGACCTTTATCTGAACTTTTTAAAACAAATATGAGTAGAAGTTGTGGTATTTGCAAGATTATTACGTTCCATAGTAGTGAGTCCCACTGATTTATTCTCAATATTTTAAGAACTGCAGCTCTGCGGTTTCTTTTCAGAGTAGAAGTGCATTAAACCTTCAAATGCTTTGCATCCACAAGAACTTGGAGTGTATTATGGTAACATTTTGTCCCCATATTTTCAAAAAATGAACCCAGAAGCCAAAAATATGATAAATAATTTGATAAAACATGATCCAAAACTGAACGCTAAATAGCTGTCTAATCAAATGTTGAACGAGCAGTGCCTCGCTCTCTTCTCTATAATTGGATCAACTCTAACCTCTACCCCACAACACAACAATGTATTTATTGCTATTGCCTTTAAAATATGACGCATCTCATTCAGTTGATCTTAATGCCATTTACTAATCAAGTCTGAAAGCAAAGCATCAAAAACCATTGTGAACAATCGAGACGCTTCATCACACCTTTTTCCTCAATTCATAAAGTTCAATAGGTGCCTACTTTACTTCCTGTAGGTCCCATCATCTTTATCTTTTACACAGATAATTCTCTAAA